GGGGGGGAGGGAGGGAATGTGCTGACTGGCCTGCAACAGCTCCCCAAAATTGCCTATGTGGCCCATGGGCCCAAATAATTGCCCACCCCTCCTATAAAGCAAACTGCTGGTGCATGGCTAGTCATTATGGAAAAACTGTGCCCCAGTGATTGAAGGTGATCAGTAAGCAGTTATTATATAGGCTCCTTTATTACTTGCACCTTCTAAACCATCCATTGGCTCTGTACCGATTTGCAAAGTTTTGGAAGATGTTATACTTGGATAAGAAAATTAATTCCATAATTTTTAATAGATAATACAAATGGCTACTACCATTCCAGTGGAACTTGGAGGGAACTAAGATTCCTTCTGTCATTATAGAGAGAGAGACTTCAACCATAAGTTTCTTCAAATGGCTGCTCTTCACACAACAGCTGTGATCAGTTGGGGGAAAAAACAAGAGCTTTTCACAACTTTTTAGGGCCCTGCACCTCTTCTGCATAAATGAAAAATGCATTTTGTGCCAAAGCACAATTTCCCTCCTGTTCCAGATTGGACAATTATGCATAATTCATAAATGGCTGCAATGAGCAGAGCAGCTAGGTTCAGTCAAAGCTGACTAACCTGGGCTGAAACAAAGTCATGAACCTTCTATATAAAATGCTGACCAGACTAAGGAATTACAGGATTCTAAGGCAGAACCATGCCTAGACCTCCAGATTCGACTCCAAAACAAATGGTTTGAGATGTGGGTCATATACTGTGCTGGGAAAACCAGAACCATTTTCAGAACCAGAGAGAATGACTAAGATGCTTATAGCTGGCCTCGTGATCTGGTCTGAGATGGTACTCACTGCCACAATCTGTAACGATGCAGCGTTTAAGGGCCTGCAACAATGAGATCTCCATCAGTGACAGAACTAATTCTGCTCTCCAGGAACAGATGTCAGACAGTAGAGAAGGGCTTTACTACCCTGCGAGCAGATTGTGCAGTATCCCCAGCCCCTCTTTCACCAGCAGCTCAGAATATCTGTTATAATGCATAGCAAGACTAATGGTATAATTTCATCAGTAATGCAAATCCTTGATGTGCTCACAGGGATATAACCATATGTGGCATGTTTGATAAAGCTTTTCCACTACCAAAACCATACAGAGAAAGTTTTAACTCTCCTCCAAGTGGTTCCATTAAATGAAGAGTGCTTTCAGATTAGAAAACACATCCTCATTTCACTCTAGATACATTTTATTAATGTCTTGTGGTTTACTGCATTTTAAAACTTGTTTCACATGTTTCCAAATGGAAAGGACATGCTAATCCTCACTACCATCCTATTTCCAACAGCAAGGCCACTAACACTATTACTTTATTTATGGAAACACATTGTTAGTTTGACATTCATTGCAGAGAGGGAGCTCCCACCACTCAGATGATGTCCTTTTTTGAGAGATTCCTACAGAATTCACTGCAAATGCAAATGGTTTATTTCCTGAAAACAAGCATCATCTTTTTACCTTGGCTGAATACTGCCTAATACAAGTTTTATATTAGGAACTTTCCTTCAGTGCCTGTCTACTATTCATTGGTGGTTTTGTGTGATTTAAACAGAACAAAATCATTACTGCTCAGGTCAAATTGATTTTCTTCAATATGTTAAAATTGACTTGCAGAATAATCATTTTGCATGCATGGTTTTTTGGGGTTTGTTGTTTTTTTGGTTGTCGTTTGTTTTTTTTTGTTTTGTTGTGTGGTTTTTTGTTTGTTGTTTTTTTTTTTTGGGGGGGGGGGGGTGCTGCACATCTGGTTTATATTTTATTTTGTTCCTGATATTTTGTCTTTATTGTAAGCTGCCCTGAACTTTTCCTGAGAAGGACGGTATAGAAATCAAACGCATGCCTACATGGAAGCATGAAAGATTTTTCTAAAATATTCTTTCCTACTCATGTCACTATGAATTGGGAATAAATCATAGCTGGTCTGCCAGATCATAACAGACTGATGGTGTGCAGTGGAACATAGGATGGAGAGAGACCTAACAGGGCATTAAGTCCTATCTCCTGTAATTGCAAGCAGCCTTTTGAGGTAGGGCTAGATCTAGAAGCCTCCATGAAAACATCAACTTTAGGCCAATGCTACCTTAATGCTGCACAAGTCACAGAGCAACTTTTACCAAACTTGAGTCCTTTGTCCCAACGACCAAAAGCTATTGTGCGCTGCAACAAGAGCGAGGAAAAAAGTGCCTTGGGCCCTTGCAACAGCAGAGAACGTCAGGTGAAAAATACTGCGAGTTCCAGCTCCCATTAACTGACAACCAAGTGTGAGGAGCCGTCAAAAACATCTACCATTAAATCTACTTTGAAGTGCTTGAATTATAGGGGAGAAAAAAAATTGAGGTCAAAATTCTACCAGTTCTTCAGTTACCCACAGAGTTCCCAGGACAGACAGGACGTTACTTTCTAATGAAGGAACAAGCAGGAGAAACATACAATTTTTTTGAGGCTTTCACGCATCATAAAGAAATAGAAAGAAAATTTGTTTTGCTTTTAAGGAGACTGACTGCTCTGGAATATGCACCCAGAGATTAAAACTACTATACTATAAACTAAAAAAAATCTTTCCTGCAGGTCAGTTATAGAGCTAGTGGATATCCCAAAGTGACCAAAAATTTAAGACAAAAAGCATGCACAGTTCCCCAAAAGAACTCTTGGACTGGGAAGTTATAAAATAATTGGAGATAAAATGTTGCACGCAGTCCCCTCAGGACTGCAAAAACAAATGCAGATATTACTGTTGAGGCTGCAAAGCTGAAAGTAGATGCACTGTTTAGTGAAACATCAAGTTCACATTGTATTCACGCTAATTTCTTGCTAGGTTAATTAACGATTTGGCAGTTCTTTTGGACTGTGCCAGCAATGCCATTTAGCTCTACTGCATTTCCTCCATTTAGGATGCAATGTGGCAAAACGATGGTCCACTAAAACATGCAAACAGCCCAGTATGCATACACAGACTTTTGGTCTATTACGTCTCAAGAGCCTAATACAAACTGCCCCACAGAGCTACCTATAAAGAAAGCTCTGCCAATGAAATGCAGAGCAGGGCTTGGCAGGAAGTATCCCAATCTCTACTTAACATCTCTGTTTTACCAGCTGTTGTGCACTGCAGATTAACCCTTTACTACAAAAGATCTCAACTTGGGGCCTGACAGTAGACATTTCTTACAAGCTTTATCAGTTCACTTCAAAGCAGACTGGAAGTTTTTTTATCACATGATCTTGAAAAAAGAAACAGTGTCTAAAGACTAAACTAAAAGTTGGAAGATTTAAAGCAATCCTACATCACAGGTCTCAATTTGAACATAGCTCTTACTTTCCAAATCCTCTACAGCGAAGTAAGCGCTAACTCACTATTATCGCAACATGCTTTGAAATGCTGGTTCTAAACAAAAAATTCTCAATTTCTAGCCCTTCTTCACCCGTCTGCTGTTGTTTGTGCAAAACTGGAGAGCTACTTATATCTACAGACCTGCACTACTGATAAGCAAACTCCACTAGAACTTTTGCATGATTTCAAAGGGTTGCTGATACACTGGTTTAGCAATGCTGGGAGCCTTCAGTGTAGATGGGCCATTGGTTGCTGTCAGTAGTTTCAAACACTTTGGCTAAGTACAGATAGTCAAAAGCCAGAGGCTGAATCGATTCAGCCTTGGCAGGTTAGTCTAAGCTGCAGAGCCCAAACTGATGACGAAGTGAACAGGCATTCACTTTTGATTGGGAAAATGCAGGCACATGTCTGCAGTGGCTCAAGCCAGAAGCCAGGAAGCACTAGAGCACACATCCCAGCCTACCAGCTCCAAGGCTTTTCTCTTCTCCCTGCTCAAGAGAAGGGGCCATGGCCAGACCCAGCCTCAGGCTAGCTAGGGTCTGCCGGGGGTGGGGGGGGGGTGGCTGCACCTGCCAGGATGAGGAGGGGGTAGGTAGGTGGGGAAGAGAGGCAGTGGCACTGAAATTATAAACCACTTAAACAAGAATAATCCTCTCTCTGAAGTGAGTGTGAATTGAACAGAAGGGAACACAACCCTGCGGAGTCCTGATGGCTGTGATCCTGGACTACAAATCCCAGGGGCACTTGGAAGCAGGAAGAGGTGATGAGTAACTGCAGGATCCTGCTATTGTGAGTCTGGACTGCAAATCCCAGAGACCTTGGGGGCAACAGGAAAAGGAAACAAACATACAGCTGATGCTGGCTATTTGCTAAAAAGCCAGGTTGAATGGAGCTAGACAGAAGCCTCTGCAAAGCAGATGCCTTCTGGGAGCAAACACTGACAGGCAGTCCCTCTCAGGCTGTTTCCTTCCCACCCCCATCACTCCAAGCTGTGCCCCCCGCCCCCCCTGCTCCAACTTAAAGCAGGGAATAGCCTGGCAGTGGCTGCCTCCCTCCCCCCCTCCACATCAGCCAGCCATCACTGCTCAGGCTAGGAGCAAAGGGCGAGGCCAAACCTGCTCTCTGGAGCAGACAGCAAAGTCCAGCCCAGGGCTGCAAAGAATCCTGGGATGCTGGGAGACTCTGATTTAACTTGAACCAGGAAGGGGTCTGGGACAGAAGTTTCATAAACTGGTTTGACCTAAATCAGTTAAGTCTGATCCTACATTAACCAGATTCATCTTAAACCAGTTTCAGCCATTTTGAACCTGGTTTATGTGCACTGAACTTCTGGTTCTGTTACAGATTTAAACTAGTTTCTGAAGACTCAAACTAGTTTATGTGCAACTTCTGCCCCTAGCCTTTCAGAGAAAGATGATCAAGGAAGGGAAAACGACCAATGCTGAAAAGCCATCAGTAGCCCATGAACATTAAGGGCTCCTAATACTGAGCTGAATAAGTATTAACAGTAGGAAGCCTACTGCAGAAACTGCTTTGAACTGTTTTAGAAATGTTGAGCATGCTTGCTTGTCTTTCTGCTGTGCCTCCCAGCTGGATGGATCTATATTGATCATTAACACAATGTTCCTCCCAACCTTCTAGGTACGGTTGGCAAGAGCCTTTGCTCCTCCATTTTGAAAGTATTGTCCAGGGAAAATCCCTGCAGTGCTCAGTAGTTAAGTGCAACTTCTCTGTTATTTGAGTGTTACAGGTAAGTAGCCAATGCCAATACTAGTGTCTGTGAGTAACTGCAGCATTGCAGCAGCTGCTGGAATCCCAGATGACAGGTTTTGTTGCGTCTCCCAGAAGACTTCAGGACTGCACTGTACAGAACTGCTATTTTCTTGTCAAGAACTAATTAAAATTTTAGGAAAACTAGGGAGCAGATAAGATGGAAGAGAATCTGAACCAAATGATTAAGAGCCAAAACCCTGAAACAATACTGTGCTCAGATGCTTGTTCCCGTAAGAAAGGAAGTGTGCTAAGAAGCTACTCAAACTGGGTTCCCGGAAACTGGCAATGAAAGCAGTGCAACTACACCGCTACATTTAGGTTGCAATACAGTACATCTATCTAGCTAGAAAACAGATTAACAGCCACAAGTTTTGGTGAGAAAGGTCAATAAATTCTCACTGTTGTACTGTAACTCTGAATGTATGCAGTGCATATCAATGTATATAACATGTATAATAATACAAACAAAAGGTAAGGTCCAGTTCCCACCATTTAAAAATGTAAGCATCTAACTTTTCACACAGTTTCTTATCATAGAGGACTTATACTCCTTGAATACACAGAAAAAAAAATACATAGAAAGCTGTGTTAAGATTTTGCCATTCTTCCTGCTTGCCTGATTTGACAGCAGTGCGAGTTTCCAGACAATTTTTAGGAAGACTCCAGCAAAACTCCTCTTCCATGGTGCTCGTGCAGTTTTGCCAGCCACAGGAAATGCAGAGCTCTTAGCAGTTATGCAGCAGCTTGCTCCCTCATATTTTATGAAGTTCATAGGCGATCAAGATTCTGTACTTGACAAAAGTACACCGCAATCCTCCCTGATATTTCAAAGGCATATTTTAAATATAAAGGCCAGAGTGGGGAAGCAGATTAGTGATGTTCTACTTACGGGTGTGGTTTCATTTCTATGTAGTTCTTGGGAATGAAGCCATCCTTCCCGTTGAGTTCTGCCTTGTACCAATTTTGATCGCATTCTTCATTCAAAACCTGCAGATAAAAAAAAAAAACCTTAACTTTCAGAAGACTAAAATATTTCATGCTCTCTTCAAAGTGCCAGAACTGATAAAACTTTTCTTAAAAGAGTGTGCACGTATTATATCAGTTTCAAAGACCATTCTGTCAACACAAACTGATTTTAAGAAAGTTAAACCAGCTAATCTACTCCAGCACCCGAGAGATTTGAGAGCTATGACAGACAGGCAGATGGAACAAAGTCACCAGAAACTGTAGCAGAAAAATGTCAAAGTATGTCGGTTTTATATTTACTCACAACCACTTTTCTAGATCATGTTCTTAGTTTAGATAGAGCGCATTTAATTGCCAAAACCTCAAATGCAAGCTGAGCTCTGAAACACAAGCTATACTCTGCTTCTTACCGTCAGTAGTAATTGTCAACTAAGTTCTGAATAATTCTTTTGAGTTCAGTGTAAAAAACAGGATTCCACCCAATTCTCTTGTACTTGCACATGTTTTAAGCACTATATTATGGAATTTTCCAGAAATTTCCCTATGATATACTTGGGTTCCCACCCATGCTAAGACAAGACTGGGAGCTTCAGGGGTTTTTTACCATTCTAAATTAAATCCATATTAAGGGACAGCAATGGTGAATTTTGTTAAATCCCCTCAGAGGCAAGTAGGGCGATATCTTTTATTGGCCCAACTATATAGTTAGGGTAAAATCAGACAAGCTTTTGAATGCAAGACATTTCTTGTCAGGTCTCTCTGATCACAGGAATCAGACATAGCAGATCACAGGCAAAACGTTAAGTAGCTGGGTTCTGTTTGCCCAAGAAAACATAGTTATCCTCAGAAAAGTTCACTTTGAAACTCATGATCCTATTTTAAAAACAAGCACAAGAGACAGAAGTCACAAAGGATGAAACTCTGTTAGTGTTTAAACAGAGAGCACCAGGAGAAGCATGATTTTTCAGCATCCGTGCCTTGGCTATATAGCCATTGTTTCCTG